ATTGGAGACGTCTCCACTGCAGAAGAAACGAAGAACGACAAGTATTGAATGCCCCTTTCCTTCCTTGCCTCGCACTGCCTTTCATGTCCAGGAAACGGAGCTCTGACGACTAGATATAAAAAGAGATCCTCACTGGCTAGGGTGGGCTAGAGACACCCCAACACCTGGACCCAGGGACTTTGGATGGAAGGAAGAGAGGCGGTTCTAGAGGAAGTTCAGAAGAGAACCCGCCTCCCCGGCCTTCTTGGGGTCTAGGGCAGTTCTTTCGTTTCAGCCTCTTCCCCCAGGGTTTCTGCGGAACCTGGACCGCTTTAAAACGTTCAGCTCAGATTGGCAAGCGCCTGGGTCCTTCTTTGTGAAACTCGGAGCAGGCTCCGCTCTGCTTCAGCAATGGAGACGTGTTGGATGCTGAGCGTTGCTCTAGCCGCTCTCTACCTCGGTAACTGGCACTCCTTGTGGTCACGCGAGTTGTCTCGGTACTAAACGGACTTGTCTCCCTCTGGGAGACGAGGAAAAAACTCAACTTTACCACCATACTGCTTCTTCCCTCAGCAACCTCCTTCTTTCTCGCCCCCTCTCTGTCGCTGAGCCTGCTCTTCCGCTCTCACTGTCCAACTTTCTTGAGCACTGTCTGTCCAGGTTCCTATAACTTTTCACTCCAGCCGTGACTCTCTCCTATTACTGACTGTTTGCAGGCGCGGTGCGGGGCGATACGGTCCATCCCGAAAAAACTGATGTGACTGCAGCACTAGCAGACGCGGTGACACTCCGCTGTAACTACGAAACCAGCAGTAGTCTTGGTTACTACCTGTACTGGTATCGCCAGCACACGAACCAAACGCTGCAGTACATCCTGCGGAGGGGAACGAAGGACTAAGAGCGGTGTCCGTAATAACGCACCTTTTGCCGAGGAAAGATTTTCGTCCCAAGCCGGTGACAGCGACTCAACGTTAAACATCACTGCCCTGGAGCAGGCAGACACCGCGGTGTATCACTGCGCCCTGCAGAAACACAGTGACAGAGGCACGCGGGAGAGCTGTGCAAAAACCCTCCCTGCCAGCACAAGGAGGCTGGATCACAAGGAACATCTTCAGACCTCACTGTTCCGTACAGATCCATGCCGAAGGGAGGCAGCTCTGCTCTGAGTGACCGATTGTGACATTTGTGCTCTGGACACTGAATATTTCTCTTAGGACGGGAGCCATTTCAGATGCGATTCAGTGTGCGGAGTCTGTTCTTCCCCAGGACCATTCTCTTCAGCTCAGAGGGAGTCAGTCATGGACGGAAAGTTAAGGGCATTTAACGCCTTGTACAGTCGTCCTTTGTGATTTGCAAAATTCTCTGTTCCTACTTCTCGTGGATTTCAGAGGGAAATTTGTGGATGTTTCGATGTGGAAATGCTTTAAATGATGTCCCTAATTGAAATAAGAGCTTAAGGGTTCAGTTTGGAAGACGTAGTCTGGTCTGATGTGGCCAGTTACAGCTGCAAATCAATATTTCCTTGAGATTGCAGCAACATCACAGTACACAATCACCTACCAGAAAAAAAGCCCTGAATTTTTCGATTCCTCAGGAAGTGAAGCCCCAAACACACTTCAAATTTGGGAAAGCCGGTAGGCGAACAAGGCGGTTTCCAAGCGTGGCGAAAGACCCGTTGCCTGAACTAGGAAAGAAAGCGACTGCACAGAGCTGTAGACTGATCAGGGTTGCCAGGCCTCCAGGATTGCCCTGGAGGCTTCAGGAATTAAATATAAATCTCCAGGAGACAGCTGAGTCACCCGGAAGAAGAATCATAGGGCATTATTTAAAATAAATAATAAATGTTGAATTCGGCTTACAGTAGTGGGGGGGAGGGGCGGGGGGCGGTTCATAATGTAATGGTAATGTGCATTTGCCTTCCTAAGGTAAAGTCTACCCATAGTAATCCTTAATTGATATAGGCAAGCCCCACGCATTTTCGCATTGTGTGTCTCGGGAACATTAGGGTTCTGGAAACCTCCCATTATGGATTTAAACAGAGTTGGCAAGCCTAATACTCTGCCCCTGAGGGAATGACCTGCAGAACCACAACTGGAAGATAAAGACGCCAAGACCCCTGAGAATTGGGGGAAGAAAGGACGATCTCCCTCGTGGTCCTTTTGTATATTATTTTGTTTGTTAAAAAGTGTGTCCGGCACACTGGGTGATGGTCAGGATCAGGGTCATCCCAGTATTGCCACATAAATAAGGTTCCTACTACTCCCACTCCTGCCTGCACTGCTTCGCTCTGGGAGATTTACTGGCAGATCCGTTTTCTAAAGCAGGGGCCACTTAGCTTTTTGCTGGTGCCCATCAGGAGGAGTTGTCTCATTTTATACAGGACACATAGTGTATGAAGATAAACCAGGGGCAGATCCATCGACCCCCAGATGTCACCCAAAGTTGCCAGTATCATCATCCCCGCCTAGCACAGGCCAGAAGAGGCACTAAGCTCTGCTTAACCCACTCATATTTTAGCCTTGACCGGGAGCAGCATGAGAAGGTCGGTGTGAATCTGCTTCTATTTACAATCTAGGACAAGGCTCTACAGTCGAAGTCCTTGCTTGTTGTTCTGATTTTCTTCACTCCATTATCGCCAGAAGTCGGCGTTCCTGACTCACCCAATCCACCACATCACAGTTGCCATATTGATGATGTTCACAAACTGATGTCTTTTACTAACTCTTCCTGATTACACATATACACCCATGGTTTTACCCGTAGAAGGTAGGAGGGAAAGAAAGGAGGGGTTCCTAGAAAGAAGATCCCTAGCTTTTGCGGGCGGAATGGAAGTTTAATCAAGGTAAAAAAAGGAACACAAGGAACATTGCGTGGTTCACTGAAACTTCCCTAAACAAAACACCAACCCCTGTTAGGTTTGTTTCTTGGAAATGCCTTAGCTCGTAGGGTGATGGTTTCAAACCAGAGCTGGAGACCTGTTGCCTGGATAGGGGAGCGAATAGAGGCTGCCTAGATGTGTAGATGGCACGGGCTGGAGGAAATATCCTTCCTCGCCATATCACCATGGTCATGCCTGCAGGTCCCTCTGAGGATGGGGAAGTAGGCGGGAGAGATCTCTTTCGGATTTGTTGTTGTTGTTATAGTCATTGCCATCATTAGCATTATCATGATCCACTAGTACATAGATGTTGGTCCATGCCGCGGGTCTAACTGGTGCGTGCACATTATAAACGGTGACTCCCATGCCTACTGTGACTACTTACTGCTGCAGCGGCTGTACAATGAACACATTTTACATGTGTCGGTTAACCCACCTACCCCGCCAAAGCACTGTTTGCTTTGGTTTGGTTTGGTTCTGGTTGTTGTTTTAAGCAGAGAAGACTCTGCCTTTACCTCAACACCCCATAAATCTGCATTAATACGCGGGAATTCTTCCACTTTGCACGAGGGCACGCACACCCCATCTGGAGGCAAACCACGAGAAAGTAAATTGACTCCTTGATTTAACACCAGTATCACCATTCAGTCCGTCTAAGACATACCAAAAGAAAATCTTGATCCGAAGCAGCACGAGACTGCCCACGTGAACGGCCCCTTGTTTGTGACCTAGGAGAAAAAAGGCCTTTCTCGTTTTCATTATGATGTTCCACTCCACTATCGCCACCAGGTGGAGCTCCTGACTTACCATATCCCCCCACGCACCACATCAGTTGCTACATTCGTGTTTATGTATCTCAGTCTTCCAGACTAATTGCGGATCACAAAACCATCTTTCTGACTTTAGGGCTGGAAAGAAAGGGAGTCGGAGGTTCTCAGGAAAAGAGACCTCGTCCTGAAGCTGGAAGGAAATTTAATCAAACAAAGAACAGGAAACTATCTGGTGTGGAGTGAACAGGAACATCCTCAGGCTGCAAGTGTAACCGTGAACCACAAATAGTAGTCCAGAACTCGGATCTCTGCTCCATCCATGGACAGCTGGAGTGGCTCCCGGAGAAGCGTCACCGGCAGGTATAAATCATTTCCTTTCGAGTGAAACACCCCTCTCCACTCCCTCAACCTTTATCCGTCTTACATAATCAATCTCCCTCCTGCTCCTCCTTCTGCCTTCCCTTATAGTTTCGCTTTTCACTGCGTCCTTGTTCTATCCCCGGCTTCTCAAATTAATTATCTATGTCAAACCCCAGAAACCGAGTATGGCAAAGAAGGCCATGTGACGCACAAACACTCGGACTCTACCAACGGGATAACAACACAGCGAGGAAGCGACTGTTTTCAAAAGCCACAAAGCCCAGTGTCTTTGTACAGCGGAAAGGGAGGTGGTGCCACAGCCAGCTCGGTGGCGAACGCACGCCCCAGGGTCGGTTCAAGTGCCCGCACTCCCTCAGCACCGGTACAGTACTCGCGCCCCGTTAAAGCTAGCCGTGTTCAGTCAAGCACCTTCTTCTGTGAGTGTTGTGTTTTCCACACGGACCAGCCAGCAAGGTCGCTTTGTTCAATCAATGGAGACGTGTCTCATTCTCAGCCTGTCTATACTGACGATGTGCTCAGGTAACCGGCTCTTTCCTCTGTCCGCCCAGACGGGCTCATTGCTAAGGCTTCTCAGCTCTCCTTTCCTCCGTCATCTTATGGCTTTCCGCACGCACTGGCTTTATGAACTTGCCTGTGTTTGACTGTTTCATGGGCAGGGGCTGTGCGGGGCGACTCGATTGAACCCGAAGGGACTCAGGTGTCTGCAGCAGAAGGAGACAACGTGACACTGCGCTGTAACTACAAAACCAGCAACAATTATGCCTACTATCTGTACTGGTACCGCCACTACCCGGACCGAGCCCTGCAGTTCATTCTCTACCGAGGAATAAGGACCGCCAGCTCGACCAGCAACGCTGCCGATTTTGCCCAAAAGCGGTTTTCTTCGCAGACCGATGACAACTCCACGGCTTTGGAAATCATAGCTCTGGAGCTGGCAGACACGGCGGTGTATTACTGCGCCCTGAGGGACGCACAGGAAGAACATGCCACTGGGGAGACGTGCAAAAACCGCCTCTGCCATCCCAGGCGCTTTTGACACTGACTGCCTCCGGGAGAGGCCGGGGGAGAAGTCTCCAATGCAGGGCCTTCGTCTCCCATGGACTTTGGCTCTCACTCAGAGCAATTGCCCCGTGTGCAGAGGACTACAGGCACAAAAGATTGCAGAAATGTGCCAGATAAATGCAACCATACCTCTAGACCCAACTATAGTTTTTTTCTAGAGGAATTTGGTACTTAGGAACTGAAAACTCATTAGGGGCAGTTTTGCTACTTCAGATACCTGAGGATTTCAGTAAATGAGGCTTGATCTGTAAAGCTGCTAGTTGGACGTCTCAGAGAGCGGCTGGGGAGTCTGCACAACACCGGAGCTGGTGACGTGAAAGAGCCCCGTTACTTCCGTGGGGGAGCATTTCGGTGCTGAAACAGCAGCCGATTCAGGGCAGGATTCCCCGGCATGTTTTTGTCTCCACTAGGCGGCGATCTTGATTTACCCAACGTCCCACAGATCATTTGCTTCTTTCATGTTCACACACCACCATCCTCAACGCAGACTCTAGATGACAGACCGTCTTCTCGTGACTTCTCAGTCTTTATATTAGCTGGACATGGTCAGGCTGGGGGCGAGAGAGTCCCCGTCGAGGATGAGTGCTCGGTTCAGATCAGTCCCTCCTCCGCCCTGCTGACTGTACGGGAGGAGAGCATGGGTCGGTCTGAACAGTTCACCCAAGGACCTCGCTGTTCCGTTGTTGCTCTGGGATCCAAGAGCGACTAATCTGTGTCCATCTGTGTCCATTATCCTATTTGGCTGACACAGGCAGCAGAAAGAGGGCCTCCTTCTCATTCTTTCTTAACCAGTCAGACACAAGTGAATAGTGTGTAATTGCCCACTGGTCCCAATGGTTTTCTATTGACCATGGACTTGGCCAGGCTTCTTGATGGAATCACTTACGATCAGTATTCGAAGAGGCTGGGCCAATGAAACACTAGCCAGCCCTAGCTCTGCTTCACATCCACCACCAGCAGTGGTGAAGCCCAGACCTCCAGCATGACGTCACCCTGTCCCCAGCTTCTCTGTAACTGAAGTCTCACTTCCATCTTATATATGTGGGGTTGTCTGGGAGTTTGGCCTTTCTTGGCCCTTCTGTTGGGAATCTACGTCTCAGGCAGCTTCAGAATAGCAGAAACAAGTGAATGGAAAAGAGAAGTTTTGTGGTATGATGAAAATCGAGAACCGTGAGAAAGGTCTGCGGAGCAGAGTGGGAACTGGAACAGAAAACTTGTGACCTCCCTGGCGAGGAAGCGACTTGCCGGTGTGCGTGGAGGCGCTGCCACCGAGCGGCCGCTTGTTTAATTTTCACCGGGGCGGAGTAGGAGGACTTCACCTGTGCCGGCGCGTGTCACTGCGGGAGCAGACCCCCGCAGCCTCCACGCACGGCTCACTGGCACACAGCCGTGTGCCCTTGGTGCGGGCCCAGCCCGCCCAGCTGCTCGCACGCGGTCCGAGTTGGTGGCGCTCCGCGCACAGGGGCAGGTGGGAATCGCTCCAGTCCCAGTTTCCAGGGCGGGCTCGGGGTGCAGAGAGCAGGGAAGCGACTTGCGCCAAGTCGTCCAGAGCATCAGAGGCAGAGCCGGGAGCTGAACTGCGGTGTCCAGCGGGCTCGCTCGGCCGGTGCCCGACGTCCCGGGCGCTCTCCCTCCGTGGGGCCCGGCTCTCTCGGGCTCCCTGCAGCTCTGCCCCTGCGGGACCGTCTGTGTGCACCGGGGGCGGCGCTGCAGGAAGAAGGTGGAACTAGCTGCTCCGCGCACTAGGGATGCTCGGACGCGGGAAGGTGTCACGTGAACGCGTGACGTGTGTCACAGCCAAGCCCTCCGCTGGTGGCCAGACTGGCGCCCGGGCAGCCTCCGCGCCAGAGCGGGAACCATGGGGCTGCCGCTGCGCTTGGGCTGCCTGCTGTGCGCCTGTGAGTCCGAGCTCGCAGAGCTCCGGGCCCCGCATGCCCCGCTGGTTCCCCGGGGCCGGGGGGCGGCGGGGGGCGCTGGGCTCCGCGCTCCGCTCTGTTGTGCGGCGGCGTCGGCATTGGCGAGGGAGGGCGCTGGTTTTCTGCCGGGTGTGCACAGTCCCGGGGGCTGGGAGGAGTCGGAGGGTCCCGGCTTCTCCGATCTTGTATGGGCAGGTTCAAAGGCGAAAATTGAGAAAAGCAGGGAGGACTTGACAGAGGAGCCCGCGATAGCGACGGGAAATGGAGCCGAACTGGAGGGATGGAGGGAAGGATGGAGGGATGGAGGCAAAGAGGACCCTCACAGGCCGGGAGGATGGCAGAGAGAGGGAATCAGTCAGAGGAACTCGGCAGGGTTAGTGAGAGGCAGGAGCTGACTGACAGACTGACGGAGGTACAGACAGGACACTTTCCGCAGAAAGAGGAAGGGACTCGGGGATCGATATTGTAGCAATCCGCTCTCCTCCTGCCCATGGTTCCCGGGTAGGGAACCAGCAACATTAACTTACTTTGAACATCTGTTTTGAACTCCTTTTTTTTTATTCCCCTCCAGTCTCCTGCTGCAGAGCCCAAGTGTCCCAGAGCCCCGAGGCGCTGGTGACCCGAGAAGGGGACCGCTCCACCATGGTCTGCACTTACTCCAGCGCTTACCTCCCCTTCCAGTGGTACCGGCAGGTCCCCTCGGGGGAGATCACCCCCCTCCTATCCGTTCCCGCCAACCGGAATGCCACCGAGGGGCGTTTCACGGGGGAAAGTCAGGACGGCGGCAAGAAGAGCTCCCTGAATTTAGCGGAGACACGGGTCGCGGACTCTGGCCGGTACTTCTGCGCGGTGGCTGCACAGGGACACAGGCAGAGCCGGGCGCTGCGCAAAAACCTCTGGCAGGAAACCCGGGGGTGCGGGACACCAGCAACTATTCTCAGCGCGGGGCTCGGGGCCGCTGGAGTCAGGCCTTTATCGGATTGTCCCTGTTTCTCACAGGCCCCGATTCCCCTCTGTCCTCTACCAGCCGACCTCACAGAGACCGGACATGCCTAGCTGTGAATAGACAGTTTCACTGTAGGTAGAGCGAGCAGTTTTTCGTTGTGCCGGGGGCATTGAGAGCTGAGTGGAGGAAGCGCCGGACAGGAGAGAGCGGTTTTCCCATACCAAACCACCCCCGAATCCTCCCTAGCCCCGACCGTAGCCCCTTCTCCTTGCCCACTCACTCCCCGCTCCTACCCTGAGCCCCCCGCCGTCCCCCTCCTCCCAGCAGTTCTGCGCACCCCCAAATGCCCCGGGTCTCTCGGCCGCCCATGAAACAGGATTAAAATAAACCATATTTAAGTCAATTCTCTAAAGGCTGGGAAATCCCATCCCGGCTCCCCTCGCCGATTCTGAAGCGCCTCTGCCCTGTGAGTTATGAAACCATCTGTGACCTACCGCAGTGGACAACAAGTACTCGCGGGTCCCCGGGCAAGAGTCGCTGGCTGGGCTCCGTCCTGGTGGAGTCTTCTGTAGCCCGGGAGACCTTGCGCTTCGGGCAGCTACCGAGAGGGGGAGCGGCAGCAGACGGCCTCACCACCTTCATCCCTCTTCTCCCTCTCTTTAACCCCTACTGGGTCTCCTCAGGAAAGCTGGCTGCCTTTTGTCGCGTGCACAGGGGCTGTGCCGGGTCCGGCTCTTGGGGAGAGCTGCAGGCAGTGCTCTTGCTGCGAGTCTTTCCCTGTGGCTCACAGGCCTGGCCTCACCGCCAGGGGGCGCCGCAGCACAGGCTGGAGAGCCCCACACCGACCAGTCGCTGCGCTCCAGCCCCGGGCTGATCCGGACTGCGAGTTCACAGGTCTCCGGCCTGAGACTGGGACGAGTCAGGCACCTCCCTGTTCCCCGCGGCCAGATGATGTTCAGCTGAAGCAGACAGCCAGGCCGGGGTCATACCGTTGTCCCAAGCACTCTGCCCCTGCCCGTAGATAGCCAAAGAGTCTGTGCACCCGGCCGTAATCAACAGGCACCAATGTCCTGGGCCTGCAACTGCAGGCAGAGGGGGACTCTTTCTCTGCCCCTCGCTGTGGGCTGGAATTCAAGGTCCGGTCAGTGCCGCGGGCATGGGCGCATCGTCGGGATCCGCTCTTGTGCTCTTGGCGACTCTGCCTGAGCCGAGACACGCATTGCTGTCTCAGACTCCCCCCATCATGCCCCGCCTTGTCTCCCTGCATCCCCGGGCACTGCAGTCTTCTACCCTCTGGCCCGGATCCTGAGCGTTTCTGTCTGTTTAGGTTCCTTCCTCGTTTTAATTTCCTAGTTTCCCCCGCCAGGATTAGCCCTTAAATAAGGTGTGAGTTGTGGCGGGGGAACGCGGGGAGGGAGGGGATTCAGGACGTCTCGGAGTCTTCGGCCCGATCAGTCCATCCTCCTCCCGGCTTATTTCCCACGTACCGCGGACAGAGCTCCATTGAACCTCACCAGCTCCTACTCCTTGATCAAGAGAAGTGAGAACATATTTTGATGCCAGCAGGTCCCGGATCGCGGCCTCCAGTTCCTCCCGCCCGGTTACAAAGGCAGCGAGCATCCCTGCCGCCGCCCCAAAGGCGCTCTACACATCTCCGCCGACAGGCAGGCCAGTGCCCTGGCTCTGGGCCGAACCGGGCTGGGGGCCGCGGCCGTGTATTATGACCGCGCTGGGAGCAGCACCCGCGGGGTGCGACAGCCCGGTCTGCCCGCACACGAACCCCCGCGGCGCGCCTGTGCTTGTGCGGAGAGGTCAGCGACCTGTTTCCTCGGCGAAGGTCACGCCGTGAATAACTCACATGGGGCCGGAGAGGGGCTTCTGACGGCTGGTGCGGAGGCGGAGGCGGGATTGCAGGAAACGGCTTCGAAAACTCGCTCGGGAGGAGAGCGAAGTCGGGGGCAGGGAAAACTCCGAGAGCAAACGCGGCTGCCGCCAAAAGAGCCCTGCCCGCGGCACTGGGGTGAGACGCCGAGGGAGGAAGGAGGGAAGTTGCGGACCGAAACGAAGGAGGAAAGGGCAAGGACAGAGCGAGTCGTCCTGGAGGTGCGGGCG